CATTGTGGGGGGGTGGGTAAAAAAAAGACACAATGACGGCTATGGCCATGTGATCAAAGTCCATCTCTTTTTTATGTGTGTTACACATATGCTACAATCGCACATTTGTGGCCACGCTTTTGACTTTTATACAAAAATAAATACGATCTTTTCAAAGTACTGTATATTGGTGTAATGTCATCCCTTTATTTGTCTTATCTTCCAAGACAGTAATAAAGATTGTCAAACATTTAATTAGAAGGCATATCTTCATAAAAAAAATAAGCTATTGAGGCAATATATGACACACTTATTAAAATGATGTACAACGCTTCAGTGGTTTCTTATGAGCTAACAGGATTAACTGAGAAAACCACTCACGTTAATCTCTCCCTTGGTGATGGGTGGAGAAGCTAGAGTAATTTCTGTTATAACTGTTATAAAGACTTCCAGCTTGGTTAGCCGAAAGATATTTTCACTTATTAACATATGCATATTCTAACACAGCTAACTTGAAAAGATATTTGCTTTTCTCTGGCCAACTGTGAGAGAAGCTGATTTTACAAGTCATAATACCAGAATTCAGTCATTAATTAATCAATCAGCTGCACACTAAAAGAGATAAAAAAAGCTTTATACAAAATCTAAAAGTTTGGTCCATAAATATAAACTATTAAGCTCATAAAATACATCAATATATTTTTCTTTTACTCTTGAGAGCTTCTAAACATGTAAGCAATTAACTGGCTAAAGCAGTTGATTTATCACAAAAAAAGTATAATCAGCATCATCCCAAAATATATAATGTTTATTTTGCATTGTTATTATATCTCTAAATGAGGGGTTCTCAACTGTGGGATCATGAGCAACTCAGAGGGGAGTCACAGATGGTTTAAAAACTTGATCAGCTTTGCAAATGCAGAATGGAAACACCAATTTTTGGCCTTCTTCCTTGTTTCGTCTGCACAAGCCCAGTGGGCAGTTGTGTTTTTGCAAAATACTGTATGAGAACCCCATGAAATATAGGTGAACATTTAATTATTAAAGTTGGTAATATATTTATTTTGCCCAACCCTAACTATAATTAAATAATTAGTTTTATTCATGGGAGAGTCACAAAAATCAATTTATCATTTTAGGGGGTGCCCCAAAGTTTGAGAATCTTGTTTCTAAATGTTTAAGAGACTTGCACCATTTTGATGGTGATGAAGTTGTTGATGTGAATACTTCTTTGTGCTGCTCCAAAGCATTCACATATATCGTTGTCACATAAGTTGGTGGTTTTATCTACTCTACCACATCACCTGGAATGAACGCAATCCTAAATGTGGAAAACATTCCATTTTACTTCATCCCAGGAATACTTCTATCTATACTTCATGCGTATATGCTGGCCAGGCATAATTTCTCAGGAAATATTATTTTGGACTTTAATTTTGTAGTTCCTTAAACAAAGCATCTGCAGTTTTCTGGTTGCCAGATTTATATTTATAGCCAGTGTCCATGTAATCATGAGGGATTTAATGTACATTACCTTCTTATGAAATACGACATGTCTGTATACTGAATACAATGTCCTGTATTTATGAAACTTACCCTGCTTCCTGTTGCCAGCACCCTGTTCTTTCTATCTGTATACAAGAAATGCAAAAATGAAATAAGGAACTTATATAATTATGAGAACATGTTGCAGAGAATGACACTTCTGTCTTTTAGATTGCAAGTCTGAAAGTTTCTTGTTTTTTTCTTCTAATTAATTAAACTGTGTCTTCATATTAATGACCTTACAGCCAAATCCAGACCACTTTGAATTTGGGGCAGGGATAGAATTGTCCCACCCTTTGTATGTGTTGGGGATGATAAAGGTCTCCTACAATGTAAGATAATATGGATCTTTCTCCAAGAAGATCGAATGAACTTGCAAATGTTTGTTCTTCATTTTAAAAGCGGATGACTTCTTTATGGTTAAGTATCATGGCAAGAAGCAACATCTGAAAAACAGCATTATGTTGGTTGCACAAATGAAATGGTGAAATAGTTTGCATGGACGCACTATGACAAAGAAGATACCAGACATTCTAACTGATATGCACTAACTAATTTCCTAAAAGTTACAAGGGACCCTTTCAGGTTGGAAAATAATCTATGGCTCTTCAGCTACTAGAAAAGAGGGTGAAATACTTTTAGTTTATTATAACCCATTTAATAATACTTTGGAAGGAAGAATATAGAAATCAAAATACATGATGACTGACATGATAAGCATTTTTTAAAAAATCAGTTTCAAAATAAAAAAAATTAAACTACAAGTTATTACAAGTTCACCAACTGGGTGAAACACAGGAAGATTCCAAATAATAATAATTGCAGATCACAATTACAGCAAAGTAGCCAGATGTTTTTGCACATGGAAAGGTATCATAGACCCAGGAATGGATAGTCCTTTGAGTTAATATACACGTGGCATGGAAGAGGATCTGCATCTACAGTACAGGTAGTCCTTACTTACCAACTACAACTGGGACCAGCAACTCCATCGCAAAGCACCACAGACACTAAGTGAGACATCACGTGACCATGCCAGACTTACAACATCACTTCTGCTTCCGTCATTAAGTGAATCACCATGGTCGTTAAGCAAGACATTACGTGACCACAACTTGAGATTTCACGTCCGCTTTCTCCATTAACTCTGCTTGTTGGAAGCCGGTTCTGAAGCATGGGAATGGCAATCACGTGACCGTGGGATGCTGTGACAGTCGTGAATGCGAGCATTGGTCTCAATGCTGTTTTTTTCCAACTGCTGGAACTTCAAATGGTCGCTAAACAAGGCAAGTACAAAAAATAACAGGGGCAGTCAAGTAGGTTGCAAGGATATATGGCAGCAAGTTATTAATCCTTCCATCCTGCCTGAAAGTTCCATTTCCCCGCCCCCAACTGTAGAAGGGGACCAACTATCAGCAGGTACTTGGAGGAAGGCTCTGTCAGCTTCACTGTGTAGACCAATCCAAGAAATTAATTTAACACAAAGACTAAAACTATGTTTATTAATATTGGCTATAGTAACAGAATGTTGCAAGTCTTAATTGTGCTTTACTACCTCCACCCACCCCTTATACTCATGTGAATTAGGGAGGTGTCTGCCTGAGTCTTTTGTGCATGCCTTCTTGTTTTGGACTTAAGCCATGTTTTTCCCCTTGTCTCTTTGGTAATAGATCTGGCCTATCTCTGTCAGGGTTATCTTCCTTATTCTCTACGGAATCCAATGTAATGAATTGGTTAAGATTGGCCTGGAATGGCAGAACCTCAAGTTCTTGTCTGTGCTCCACGATGGAGTTAGTGGATGACTTAGAACAAGACATTATCTTTCAGCCCAAAACCTTAACGTGACTCCTCTGTGTGCCATGTTAAGCTCTTAGAAAAGGGGAGAAAAGATGGTATACAAATAGATACTTTCTTACTTGATGCTAATAAGGCCATACTTTTAACTCCTTTTCCCTTGAGATGGGTGCTTCAAGCATGATTTGGGGTGCCATGAAAAGACAATAAAATGTTATTTATTTAATGTATTACTGTCGCTAGCTTCCTTTCTTTCAACTGCATTGGAGTGGGAATGGGGGTTGAAACAGGATTCCTGTTTCAAAGGACAAAGTAATCATATGACTAATTGTCTGGATTTTTGGCTTTTTCTGCTTTGGTCCGCTTTTCAGACCCAAGCTGAGGACCATTCCCAAAGTTCACATACTCTTCTATTGATATTGGCATTAGGCTACCACACTATGCATTTCTATTTTTGTTTTCTAGCCAGCTTTGCATAGGATATGTGGCATGTGTTATTAGCCCAGCCTTGCAAGGCCAGCGTTAATACTCGTTAAATAAAAATGGAGGTCGCAGGTTCTCCAACTCTGCAGGTTTTTAAAAAGAGGCTGGCCAGCTACCTCTGAGTCAGTGCTTCTCAACCTTGGTGGCTTGAAGATGGGTGGATTTCAACACCCAGAATCCCCCAGCCAGCAAGTCTACCCGTCTTCAAGCCACCAAGGTTGCGAAACATTGCTGTCATGGATGGTTTAATGGTTTTTCCCCACACATTGCAGAGGGTTGGACTAGATCAGCGTTTCT